TTTAATGAGCAAATCCTTGCTTCAAGACTGCGGACTTCCCTCTATCTACTTCACCATCACATCACAACACTTGTTGTAAAAGTGGATAGGGGGGTCCAGGGTCTTCAAGCAAGACAAAGCAAATTCCATCCCATAATGCCTGGGTCACATTTGCTCTGATCCATTAGCCGGCGCCCAGCTGATTGAGTGTTTTGTTCAATATTTTATTCAATTTTGAACAAAATACTCAATCGGCCGGGCGCCGCAGTGAAAATCGGAGCAAATGTGACCCAGGCATAACTCTTGATATAACAACACTCACCTTATTTAGGCCTGATGGCAGTTGTTCATCATAATAGTTGCCATTGACAACCATAACTGAAATGTTGCTTGGAAACTGTTTCAAGCGAGATAGAGTCCTACAAGAGCAATAACAAGGTCAAGGTCAGTGATATGGGTCAATAAGTCAAGGCCAATTACAATATCTACAACAGTAGACTGTATTGAATATCCGCTGAAATTTTATTCCAACTACCAAAGATATATGAGCCAGCTCATGTACACAGTACATTGAGAGAATTATTTTTCAACATTAATCAAGTCCAAGGTTGAAAGCATCATTTACCCCAAGAGAGAAAGTATAGCCCTACCTTATTTGTGAAAAAGATTCATTGATGAAATGATGCTCATCCACCACACTACTCATGTGTCTGGGGTTGCACACTAAGTATTTCTGAAAACACACATGAGGAATATGTTATATTTTATAGTTGAGTGTTCTTGTGAACAATAAAACCTGCTATCACTGTAAAATGCAATATGTGGACATATATCATTTTTACATTTTCATACAACCAACAATATTATTAATGCCCTAATATAAAGTTGGCGTGGTTTTTCTTTGTAATATAAAAGCACAGACATTTAGTTTAAAAATAATTCTTGTATGAACTTGAACGATGGCAATCTGTGCTGTAAGCAAGCATGCTGCACAAGACAAATGAGTGATTTAATAATCACAAGTGTAATTTCACTTGTATTATAAGAAACTGTCTAATTAAGCAGTGACATCATAGTATAAATTCAGAAACCTTCCAAAAACGAAATAGTTGGCAACAATTCAAGCAATAGCAGGAAAAATCCTCATAATGACATTTATCGTGAGTATTTATACACAATATTTGCCCCATATGTTCATCAATGTACATTCCTTCATTATCCCTCAAAACCTTACAATTGATATAACCAAAGATTGTGCTCTAAAATGATATGCAGGTTAAATGATCAATGTAAATGTATATGAGAGGGGAAGGTCTCATGATGCACCTGAAATATAATATTATTAGGGGTAATTAATTGAAAATAGTATCACTCCACCTCATAATAGTGATTTATTAGAAGGATAAACACACAAAAAGGACTACAGTTAGTCAACTTAATTTGGCGTGATTTAATTTGACGAATTGGGCAAATTTGGCAAATATTTAATTTGGCAATTTTAGTAGCCTAAGGATCAAATAAGCATATAGATAAAAATTGAAAAAAGTGAGCCAGTGTGGCAAATAAAATTTAAGCAACACCAGCTATTCAAATATAAAGAAAGAGATGAATTGGAGAATTTATACAATTTGCCAAATTAAATTGGCCGCCACATTAAGTTGACTATTAGTATTAAATAGTCATATTTTCATGATTAATACATATCTTGTTTATATATTTGATATCAGTAACAGGATACATAAGTTACTTACAACATATACAAGTACAACTTAACTTCGTGCAAACAAGGCATTATATATTATTACACAACAATAAAATGCCATTTACAAGTTTTATTACTACTTCTATCGCCAGGTTGAAATTTACCTACAAATAAGCATTTACAAAGATAAGGAATACCAATAAAGATGCCAAACATCAGTTCCAAAAATAGTGGCTTTAACATTATGATCCCACTTCTTGGTGGTGATACATATCCAAAATTAAAAAAATCAACAAAATCTAAATTTCTTAATTCCAAGATAAAAGAAAAAAATGTTCATTTGACAGTGGTCTTATTATAGAGATCATTACAATAGAAGCAAGGAATAATTTATTTCAAATTTAAAAACAAACATTTCTTTTATCAAATGTTAAATAAATTTTCATGTATGAACAGTTTTCTTACTAGCTTGTTGCTAAGATTTCTCACGTCAAATGTAATACAGAGTAAACTGATAATTTGCAAGGTGAAACATTGACAGTCATTTGAGTTCACACAGGAACTTAACTCAATCACTTCTGCAATGATGTGTATCTCCCAATGTTTTTTGATAAATGATTAATAAATAAATGATTACTTAAATCTGAGTTTAACACCCACAGAGTCTCAATTTTGATGAAAATGGAACAAAACCAGTAGATATAAAATGTCAGGTTCTGGCTCGCCACGGGCCGCCACGGGCCCGGGGCTTTCAAAATCTCTGAAGATGAGCAGGAGATATAGATGAGCAGAAGATAAATTAATTGGATGGGGATTAGGAGATAAGTTAATTGGATGGGGCTTTCATCTTAAATGTGTAAAAATGTTAGATAAGATGCGCATGACATCATTGTTATCTTAAATGGGTGAGAGATAAGATGCGCATGACATCATTGTTATCTTAAATGGGTGAGAGATAAGATGCGCATGACATCATTGTTATCTTAAAAATCACTACATCAAATTACTACATCAAATAACTGAGAAAAAATTAATGTACAATATTGTTTAATTTATTTGCATTTATTTTACAAACAAAAGTACCACATAATCTAATTAATCCTTATTATCACTAGCAGAATCATTGGTGTCATCAGATTCATTATCACTAGATTCACTAGCTTCGTCATTGTCACTAGAGTCAGTATACGATTCATCTGAAACATTTGCATCATCATAAAGTCCTACATTAATAATGTCTTCTGTCATATAGTTGTGGTGTAACATGGTCTTCTTAAAAGCATCTTCAAACGGTATGCCTGTACTCATTAATTGCTGGATGTCTACCATGATTTCTTTATGTGTTGGACTACATTGTAAATCTAGTAAATCTTCAACTAAATACTTGTAGTATGTCTTAAACGTTTCTCTTATTTTGGGTAGGAATTTTTGATTCGCCATATATCTTCTATCATACTCAGAATTCCCCTTCTGTTTGTCTATATATTTTGCCTCTTGTTCTTCAATTTGATCTTTAAATTTATTAATAGCTTTATCCTTTAGCCGTATATACACAGGGTTTTCCTGAAACCCTTCAGTGCATAGCTTCTTCATTGGAGGGTCGTCTATATCCTCATTCAATGGACAGTTTTGGATATGATTCTGTAGATCCATTCTTGATATTAACATGACGCCACAATAGTCACAATGACATATTTCTTTCATGTTGTAATTTTTGTTGTCAGAATGTATAACGTTGCTGGGGATAGTATCTTTTATACTCGCAGTGAACTGATATGGAGGTTTCATTATTGAAGTATCATACTGTGACATCTCTTTAAATGGGTTTTCATTAGAATTCAAATCATATGGTAGTGCTATGTCATTGGATTGTACTGTCTTAGTCAATGGTTCTCCCTTTAGATGACTACTATCATGCTCATTCATTGTTTGATGAGTCTTATCATAACACAGTCTTAAATGCTCTGGGGTTTCTTGCTTTAGATCAATCAGTAAATGCCCATATGGTTTTAGAGTAGCTGCATTATAAGCATCTAAGAGTTTGTGACTGTTCCCAGGATACATCTGCTGAGAAAGTACTCTTACTTGGTTTTGATCTCTTGGATTCTTGTACAATACAATGTAATGTGTATTCAAGCTGATGGTTCGATTCTCCCTTCCATGATGGAAGATATTCTGCAGTAAACAGATTACACTCAGGTTTCTGTGATGACTCCCTTTAGTAAACAAATCAGAGATCTTCCTGTCTTTGGTAGCATCTGACATCAAGTCATCAACAATCATTAAATTACGCACTCTAGGATTTAAGAAATCTGGACTGTTTAATTCATCTGGAATTCCCATCATGAATTCTATTCCAGGATGTGTGTTCTTAATCTCTATGTAAAGTGGTTGCCATTGTCCAAAACACCAGATAATACGCTGTGGAGGGGGTTGGATGCGTTGCTCTACATTTTCCAAAAGTTGCTTGACAAAGGTAGTTTTCCCACAGCCTGTGGGACCAGTGACCAACATGGTAAAGGGGTGATGCAACACTTTGTCCATACCTACATGTATGTCTTCTTTACCTAGTGCAGAGTGCATGCCTTTGTGTCTCGCTAAACTTGAAGCATGTCTAAATTCTTTACCACAATGACAGTAATACATGTTACCGCCTCAAAGACTGATAACAAAATGGATGCAATTCATAATTTCATTCTGTTATGTATATGTGTTCAAAGGCATGTTCAAGAATGCTAATTTAAATGTATGCTAACAGATGCTAATGCTAATAGATGCTAATGGTAATGCTAAGTAATGCTAACAGATGCTAATGCTAATGCTAACAGATACTAATGCTAATGCTAACACGTGCTAACAGATGCTAATGCTAATAGATGCTAATGGTAATGCTAACAGATGCTAATGCTAATGCTAACAGATACTAATGCTAATGCTAACAGATGCTGATGCTAACAGATGCTAACATATGCTAATGATGATGCTAACAGATGCTAATGGTAATGCTAACAGATGCTAATGCTAATGCTAACAGATGCTAACATATGCTAATGATGATGCTAACAGATGCTAATGCTAATGCTAACAGATACTAATGCTAATGCTAACAGATGCTAACATATGCTAATGATGATGCTAACAGATGCTAATGGTAATGCTAACAGATGCTAATGTTAATGCTAACAGTTGCTAACATATGCTAATGATGATGCTAACAGATGCTTATGCTAATGCTAACAGATACTAATGCTAATGCTAACAGATGCTAACATATGCTAATGCTAATGCTAACAGATACTAATGCTAATGCTAACAGATGCTAACATATGCTAATGATGATGCTAACAGATGCTAATGGTAATGCTAACAGATGCTAATGATAATGCTAACATATGCTAATGATAATGCTAACAGATGCTAATGAGGTAATGCTAACTAATGTTCATACATATTCAAACCATTTGTAAATGACTGTAAATAGCAAACAACATTTGAAACTTTAGTTATTTATTTTTATTCATATCATTCAGTATTATATACAAATAACTTTAATCGTCCATCCTTGCTGGGATACCAGGTGGTTTGTATAAGAATGTCCGTTTCTTTCTTGTATTCGAAGTGTTTTGTTTTTTCTGTTTAAATGAATGTTTCTTCTTTATATTTACAGAGTTTTGTTGTTTCTCTTTAGATGGTCTATACTCTTCATATTTCATATCTTCATGTTGACGTTTCAATTGTGCCTTTGCTCTGTCGACAACTGCAGTCATGGGTGAAATGATTTGTACCGGTTTAGTATCTTCTTTAATGTCATCTATGCCTATCCACCCTCTTCCTGTTTGAGATACTTTCAATCTATTCTGTCTCCCAGCTCGAATAAGTTTCAACCAATGTTCTGGGTTGTCTACATATGGTACTAGTTTCATGGTTTTTAGTTGATGTGTATATATCAAGTATGAGGATTGAAATGATAACGATTTGAATATTTCACTCAATATATATTGTCAAGTGGCATCAATATCAACTTCTTATCAACATCTGATGTCGTGATATTCTTAGAAACTGATGTCGTGAATTAATGTAGTTCTTGTTGTTATTGACCATTCCAGATTAGAAAGTTGAAAGATTATTTATATTCTTAAGATACATTCAATAGATTTTTCTGTCAAACTTCTGGAACCTTCCAGAATAATGACTCATCGCTATAATCTGTTTTTGAAAAAGGGGATTAACACTGTAAACAAAAGATGTTCTAGAATATGAAGGATTAACATTGTGATGACACAATTAAATGTCAACATTCAATTATTACATTAAAATTAAGATACATTCAATAGATTTTTCTGTCAAACTTCTGGAACCTTCCAGAATAATGACTCATCGCTATAATCTGTTTTTGAAAAGGGGGATTAACACTGTAAACAAAAGATGTTCTAGAATATGAAGGATTAACATTGTGATGACACAATTAAATGTCAACATTCAATTATTACATTAAAATACCATTATTGTTGAAATCAAGTATAGTAAGATCAAATGGTCAATATAGGACTTAAATAAATAAACCTTTTCAACGGTCAATTCAATATATGACTTAAATAAATAAACCTTTTCATCTGTACACATATTTAATCCAAAATCCAGTTCTCTTTCCTTTTATGCGAACAGTATTTGTTTGACCAACTCAATAGGATTATTGATTCTTTTCAATGTTGGGTTAATATTGAAAGTAGAATTGTAAACACTGTTAATGGATTATACCAAATTTAAAATATATATAAGGGATTTATTTTGTACTTAACTATTCAGTCCAAGAAATACATTTCTCACCCATTTAAGATAACAATGATGTCATGCGCATCTTATCTCTCACCCATTTAAGATAACAATGATGTCATGCGCATCTTATCTCTCACCCATTTAAGATAACAATGATGTCATGCGCATCTTATCTCTCACCCATTTAAGATAACAATGATGTCATGCGCATCTTATCTAACATTTTTACACATTTAAGATGAAAGCCCCATCCAATTAACTTATCTCCTAATCCCCATCCAATTAATTTATCTTCTGCTCATCTATATCTCCTGCTCATCTTCAGAGATTTTGAAAGCCCCGGGCCCGTGGCGGCCCGTGGCGAGCCAGAACCTGACATTTTATATCTACTAAAACCATACCTACAACAAAGACCTTATAAATTTTTTAATTTTTAAATTTTTATTGTCAATTCAACAATAAAAGTATAACCAAGCCTCCCCCCCCCCTCAAATTGATAAAGAGCAAAATGTGTACATTCCACCATTTTGTGTTTATCAGTTGAGTGCCATTCAAGAGATTCAAGATGCAGAAATGTTTATATTCATTTAAATTGAATAAAATTGAAAAAGAGGACATGCGACATGGCACTTTTGACAAAATGACAACCTCATATAAAAAATTGAAATATTACACTGCAATACAGCCAGATAACAGTGTAACAGTGTAAGGGAGAAGTATTTAAAATAAAATTTAGATCTTGCAACAGATTCAAAATGACAGTAGACTAAGATGTAACATCTCCAAGTTGTCTCCGATTTTGAGTATTTTGGTTACATTTTGATGATTCCTTCACATAATCTAATGGCTATAAACAGGAAATGGCGGATGAATATAATTTCACCGGACAATGATGATTGTGACTTCGGATGGTAAATAAAACAGAATTAACGTTACAACTTTTCAATAAGATGATTTTTTATAAATTATTTAAAAATATTAAAGCCAAAAAACGGCTAAATATGCAATTACGATCTCATTTTGTTGAAAATACAAGATCTCGTTTAGCGGATGTAGCATTTTCCAAGGTTACGATCGTGAATAGGCTACTTCTGGCAAAAAACTTTGAAACAGATTTACGCAGTTTTGATCAATTCATGGTGAGTAAACGATAATTTGTGCATTTATTAGTTTGTCAAAATAAAACATTATATAATTTTAAATCAGTTGCGCACTTATTCCTTATTCGATCTTTATGAATAACTTCATTTTTTCAGGCCAATAAGCTGTAAAGTGAAAATATAAAATCACGTGTCAAAACAAAATAATTTCACAGGTGAAATCCCAGGAATATTAGATACACAGTATAGCTTTAATAATGATAAATTTGCAATTTCTAACAATGAAATAAATCAACAGATATAATGGAAGATAAAAAATACAAGTATATTGTATTGTCATATCTATTTGTCTCATATATCAATATGAGAAATATTTCACTGGACTGTCAAAACAAGTAGTGCAAGAAAAGATGGATGACAAGAAATAAATTGATGACATTTGGTTTGAGCCTCCTATCTCAATATCAACACAACTAATGCACATTTTCACAGTTGTTTGATGTTCCCTGGTAAGGAAAGATGATTTACCGAAATTTTTCAAATGTGTTTCCGTGCTAAAAGTATTCTTTGAAATTTACCAGAATTACTCTCACTTTATGGTCCAAATGCTGTCTCTAGGGACCATAGCACTTAAAATTTATGGTTCTGTAATATTGATATGTATTAACTCATGAAAAACATTCGTTGCCAAGAAAAACAGCTTGAAATATCAGTAGTACTTTTTCCAGCTCCACCTTAATGACGAACAAACTAACATTTTGAAAAAGTAACACCAAAGAAAGTGGAATGTTTTACAGTGTACATGTACTTTAAATTTATGGTTAAAATGTTTTTCTCTCTGCTTCATTGAAAACCTTGAATTTATCATTTGCATAACTGAAATATCGCTGAACAAACCACTGTGTAAAACAACCCAACCATTGAACTTCACTGAGACTTTACATGTGTTTTCAAAAAATACTCTTATTGGATCGTATTATTCCTATTTGTATTTAACGTCAGAAGAATTTTAATCAAAAATAACTTATTTCTACTTTGACCATAATGAAGATTAATTCCATTTAAACACAGCGACAGTTTTATCATATAGTACTTAACCATTAAACTGCATTATGTTTACTCTGTATATGATATGTTTATTTTATTTTAATAAATATCCTGGATTGCTGGTCTTATAGTCTCAGGTACATGGACATGAACGCCAATTAAAATATCGAAAAGACTGCTACAACAACATCACAATGCTGAAACTCATTTTTCTGATCATCTTTACAATATGTGTCACCACAGATGCATTTAGTAAGTATTTTATTTTATAAACATTTACATATTAATTAATAAGAGTACAGAGAACTAACTGGCTGAACAAATTAAAAAAAATGTTATAACACATTTTAATTTTTAACTGATATGTTGAAGTTCAAAACTAAAAATATAATGCATTTAACATGTAAATGTTAAAAGTGCATTTAAGAAATGTTTTATTGTTTGTGAAGTCACAACTGTTATACAATGGCAATAACACAAAGCTGGGCTCAAGGACAACTCAAAAAGGGCATGTTAAGTTTGGGGAAAACTTCCCAGTATTTTATGAGCTTATTGACACATATCTATTTTAATGCTCTGTAACTAAATCATATCATCATTGCAGATTGGTCACAACTCATATTAATCACATGGAAACTGAATTTGTTTTTGATCACCAGAGTTTGACTTTGACACCACCCAAAATTTATCTTTTTGAAAATGCTAATTTTCGGTGATTTTTCTTTGAATTCTAAATTGCAAATCTTGGGATCATTTTTGTTGAATCATTGATGGTATAGGATGGACTGATATCACATAGAAACAGAAAAGGCACATTGTTTCCATCTGTGGCTGAATGAGCATTTCAAAATTTCATTTGTAGAATATATCATTTATTAGGGACACTCCGTAATTGGTACACAGAAACTTCACTTCTTTTTTTCTCTGCCATTAGCCTTGGGAAACAAGATTATTTGTCCAAGCTGAAGCTTTAATTGCAATAGTATTGTTTTTACCTTTGTTTTGTTTTTACCTTTTAGATCCAGAGACAAATAAGAAATTACAGAAAGCCCTGGGAGATTATGTTGATTACTTTAATGCTGGAGACTGGAATGCTGTGGCAGATCTCTATGCAGATTATGCAACCTTGGCAACAACTGGTGATTTTGTTCGTGGAAAGGAAGGTATGTGAGATCAAAGTATGTCCATGAAAGGCACCTGGGTTGGACAAATAAATTAGAACAAAACTGAGAACATCCTTATAACATATCATTTTTAATCATAGAGGACAGCAAAGGAACATTCACTTTCTACTTGTACTTCACTTTTTCTATTTCTTCTTCTGTTTTTGCCAGAATTTCTAATGAAGGTATCCACACTAGACAAGCAAGGTAGCAAAAACTACATTATTAAAAATAGCAATTTCTTTATACAATTACGTTATTAACAAGGCATTAACATGCAAATGTCACCACCTGCCATTTGTAACAGATGCCAACCATTGAATGCCAAACACCAACTGCCACATACCAACCACCAAACATCATCCACAAAAAAGGGACTATAAGAATATGTCATCACTTGTTGTGGTGACAAAAAAATTACATCTGAAACAATAATATTTCAACTATTTCTTTAAGCAATAAGGCAATTCTACATTGATGAGTATGATGGTAAGGGTTATGTGATGACAACTTACATCAAGGAGTATGACCACAGTGGAAACATACTTGTGACAAGCCAAGAGTGTGGATTAAAAACACAAGATGGTCAACTGGTTACATCAGTGAGGTAATTATGAATCTAAATCAAAGGGGTTGATTTATGGGCCATTTATGATATATGGAACTTTTTATTTAGTAAAAACGGGCCTACATGTATGTTTACTTAGCTTTCCATATTGAATATTACATGGTATTAGAAGATTAAAACATCAAAAGATGAAAAAACACTCTGCTCCAAAGAGGTTAAAATGGCAATTCATTCATATGCCTTACACACTCATAGGCGTAGTGCCCACTCCAGTATGCCTGGTACGCACAGACATACCAGATGG